AAGGAGTAGAAGCCACTCTGAGAGCCAGAGCTGCTACCGGGACTGCTGGGCTGCCACTCGTCACCGCTAGAGTCCCCATCCTGCACCGTGACATGCCGGACATTGACTAGGCCGTTCCGGCTTCCGTCGTTCTCCAAGGAGCCAGAGTCCCGGTCCGCCAGGCCAAAAGCAGGCCCAACAATGGTTCTCAGGTCTGAGGGCTGCAGCAGGGGGGACAGAGGCTTCAGCACCCACTTCCTGGGGGAGCTGTCCATGTCTGTAGGGGGCGTTGTGGAGCCACAGGGGGTAGAATCGTCTCTGGATCTCTGAGAACTTTGTAGGGATCAAACAGGCAAACAGTCTTCGGTGGAGATACTCTGAAACAACAGTAAAGACAATTTCTGAAGCCAAGGAGGAATAAACTAATCAGCGACACTCATGGAGACCTGTGGGCGTTTGCAAAGCATTGTGGGACTCGTAGTCCCTGTAGAGTCTGAGAAATGAAACTGAAGTCACAGAGAAAAGACGTCTGACTGATGAGAGATGAGTTTACAGAGAGGAGCGGCTCGGGTCACCTGACGCAACAACCCGCCTCTTATCAGATCCGCCCTGCAGGTCCAGAGATAAACCTGCTGAGACCAGCGGTTCTGATGGACCCGGTCCAGTGTTGACGGCAGCTGTTCTTAACAGGAGCTTTTAAACTGTGCGGATCTGCACTGGTTTCCGGTTCCAGCAGTCCCAGTAAGGCAGTCTTAAACTGGATCTTATGCTGGTTCTGTTGGTGGTTGGCCACAGAACCGACCGTACTGGGTTTGGCCCAGGTGTGTTTAAAATCAGAACTTGATTTGGGTCACTGACATCTAAACTGGTTCAACTCATCCAGTTTGAAACTGGTTTCATACTGAATTCTACAGGGTTCTGGACCGGTTCTGTTTATATAACTGCCTTGATACTGGTTTAAACTGGTCAGATTTTTCATTGTTTTGATTGGGATTAAAGTTGGTTCTGGACTGGTGTCATCCTGGGTTTGAACTGGTCTCAGTTTGTGTCAGTCCTGGTTTTAGTCTGGGGTCGGACTGATAATGCGTTGCCTCCTGCAGGGTTCTGGTCGGGTCCATATTAATAGGATCAGATTTCAGATCTGATCCTCATCTCTGATCCAGAACTTTTTGGACTTTCTGTCACAGCTGGTTCGGGTCCGAATGGTTCGGAATCAGCTGGTTGTCCAGGATGGTTCCGAGTTCTGGAGAAGGTCAGTTCATGTTGGGAGGATCAATCTGGATCAGAACCGTCTGATGAGATGGTGAAAACCCGGACCACAAGAACCGCAGGAGGAACATTCAGAGCGGCAGCTCCGCCTGCGACCGGCTGATAAGACGCCGCTCCCGCAGCTGGCGGCCGATAGGCAACCGCCTGCTGCAGGGCAACCGAACCGGGCCAGAACCGGGCCAGAACCAGTGTGTGTGTTCCTCTGTGTCTGTATCTGTGTGTTTGTTATTTCTGGACTGAGCCGAACCACAGCCCCGCCCCCTAATGACCCAAACATCTGGTCAGCCTCTGACCTGAACAACAGAATCTCTCTTACCTCCATCAGTGTCCAGCAGCAGCCGCAGCTCTGAAGAGCAGCTGCCCGAGGGGACGAAGGTCGCTGTGAGGCCCCGCCCACTCACTGGCCCCGCCCACCTGCTCTCCATCAGCAGGTGGACTCTGGATCATCACCATGGAGACAGTGGGTCTTTCTGGGTCCAGTGTTTCCCAGCCCTGGTCCTCCAGGCTCACTGCAGCCTGGTGGTTTCAGTTTGCAGCTGTTTGCTGAACTGCAATCAGCTGAATCAGGCATCATGAAGCAGGGAAACAGATAAAACATGCAGGGCAGTGTTGAGAATAAATAATTCTGTTTTTCCTTCTGTCTCTTTTAGCTAGTTTTAGTAAAGCTAAATCTAAAGAAAATGACATGTTAGGAAACAGTCTCAAAGCGAGGGTTAGAAGACATGACATACTGGAGAACGGCCTTTTTAGAGCGCAGCTCAGATAGAGGCTAACAAAAGGAATGGAAAACTTTTGTTTGATGCCATTTTGTCCTGCTAACTCTTAAAGGTGGCATGAGAAATGGACCAGCTGTATTTTGGTATTAATTACTGGAAATCATGAATTTAACTCACTGATTCTTTTTCAACCTCAGACATCAAGAACTGAGCAAGGAAGACGGAGAACCAGGAGAACCAAGCCCCCTGCTGGACCGGAAGCAGTACTGCAGCCCTGCTCCCCCCTGCTGGACCGGAAGCAGTACTGCAGCCCTGCTCCCCCCTGCTGGACCGGAAGCAGTACTGCACCAGGTTGTTGGCAGCCTCACCTTGTTCTCCGGGTCCAGACTGAGAGCCAGAACCTTCCACGGCGGAGTGTACTGGAACATTCTGCTGCTCCAACTGGACCTGGCCTGTTCTTGCTGGGAAAGACAGAAAGAGTCCACAGAGTCCTTTACGGTGAGTGGGGAATGTGGACGTTTATTAAACAGAGGAATTATGTATACAAGTTGCACATGTATCGGTACCTTCTGTAAATTCTGCTCAGAGCTCCAGGATGATCAGTCTGGATCAATCTAAACACCAATAAATCAGCGGATCAATATGATCTCTGATCAATGGCTCCATGTTCTCCATCAGAGCCAGAGATCCTCAGCTATACCTGAGATTATTGATCACCTTCAATAATCAAACTTATTGATCAGCCCTGTTTTCCCTTTAGTGAGAATGAATGAGCCATAGATGCATTGAGACCACTGGTGGGCAGTCCCGGTCCTCAAGGGCCGGTCTCCTGCAACTCTTGGACGTCTCTCTGGTCCAACACTCTTGAATCAAATCAGTGAATCACTTCCTCGGTGCAGTTCGGTTCTCCAGACTCATTATTTGACTCTGATGTGTTGAAGTGAAGATGCATCTAAAAGTTGCAGGAGACCCTCCAGGCCTGGAGATGCCCTCCCCGATTCAGACGATGCGTTACGTCTTTATGAGACAAACTGGACTGAGGTTTTCACATTTTTACTTTTGTTTTCTTTATTTTGTGTTAGTTTATTGTCTGAGGATAAATCGTTTCAGTTTTATGTTTAAAGAATAAAAGATTTATGATAACCATCGGGTTCGATGCTTCTTGGACTAAATAACTGAAGTCAGGTTTCAGTGTATTTAGGTGAGTTTCGATGCCTTTAGTTTGTTTTTGTCTGTATTAAAAGTGGCTGCCACACATTTTCACAGCAGGTAAAAAGCTTGCTAAACTTCATGCAAACTTTCACATCAAGTTTGTTTTATACATCTTGTCTCTGTGTAAAATATGTTGCCACAAACAGCAACATATTTTACGAAGCCCTGAGGGTTTTTTATGCGCCGCAACTTTCTGTTGCTTTTGAGTTTTAACACAGAGTTCAGCTCTGGTTCTGAAGCTGAAGGAGCCAACGACAGGTTGGTTCTGGTTCATGTCTGGTCTCCTTCTTCAGGTTGTTCTGTTCTTTATGAAGGTTTCGGTTTCGTCACTGTCGGAACCAGAACCGAGCCCAGCCGTCGGACACACAGACAGAGCATCATTAAAATGTGTGTGTGTGTGTCTATGCGTGTGTGTGTGTGTGTCTATGCGTGTGTGTGTGTGTGTCTATGCGTGTGTGTGTGTGTCTATGCGTGTGTGTGTGTGTCTATGCGTGTGTGTGTGTGTCTATGCGTGTGTGTGTGTGTGTGTGTCTATGCGTGTGTGTGTGTGTGTGTGTCTATGCGTGTGTGTGTGTGTGTGTCTATGCGTGTGTGTGTGTGTCTATGCGTGTGTGTGTGTGTCTATGCGTGTGTGTGTGTCTATGCGTGTGTGTGTGTGTCTATGCGTGTGTGTGTGTGTGTCTATGCGTGTGTGTGTGTGTCTATGCGTGTGTGTGTGTGTGTCTATGCGTGTGTGTGTGTGTCTATGCGTGTGTGTGTGTCTATGCGTGTGTGTGTGTGTCTATGCGTGTGTGTGTGTGTGTGTTGCTGAGCAGGGGAGTTAGACAGGAATTCTGCTGATCGACAGAAACACAGACACAATGTTTACGCTTCCCCCACCTTGCCTCTATGTCAACACACACAAGTTTGTATTTCTATCCATGTTGGGACTTGGTTCTGACTTCACTTCCTGTCAGGACCGCCATGTTTACTGGACTAGCTGGCAATGGGACTTGGACTTCCTGCTGACCTATTTCAGCAGAATGTGTGGGCCATGTGAACTATGGCTTTAGTCAACCAAAGCAAATGGGATATATCACACTAAACCAAGCCTTACATGTTGAACTGGATCCTCAGCGGGTCCAGACGTTCCCATTCTTATGGATTTTATATCATGATTCCTCAGATTTTTATCATCAGAAACTGTAAAGTCAGGATCTGAACTGTAACACACGGAGCTGCCTGCAGGTGGCAGCAGCTGAACTGCATGACAGGTGAGATTTAGAATAGGAAAATACACCATTGCACCGCCAGCAGCAGCCTGAACGGTTGACACCAGGCGGGATGGATCCACGCTTTCATGTTGTTGATGCCAAATTGTGACCCGACCCCCTGAATGTTGCAGCACAAATTCAAACCAAGCAAGGTTTTTCCAATCCTCTGTTGTCCAATTTTGGTCACAATTGTGAGAATTGTAGCCTCCGTTTCCTTAGCTGACAGTTGGTGTAGTCATCTGCTGCTGTAGCTCATCCACCTCAAGGTTCGACGTGTTGTGCATTCAGAGACGCTCTTCTGCAGACCTCGGTTGTAACACGTGGTTATTTGGTGATGCTTGGTTTGAACTGCAGCAGATCATCTTGGCCATGCTCAGATGCGTTGAAATGCTACCATCTGAGTGGCTAATTCCACATTTTTATTAATGAGAAGTTGGAGAGGTGTAACTAATAAAACGGCCAGTGAGAGTAAGTGTAGGTCATTCAATTAACTCTACATCCTTAAGAAATAGAAAACATTATGTTATGTTATTAGAGAATTTTTATTCTATGGTGTCAGTAATACCAGAATTAATAATAAATAAAGACTTTGTTTTATTCTGACTTAGTGATGTAATTATATCAGTTGTGTTACCAACCCACACCAGTAGAGGCAGTAATAGACCTGAAAAGAGCAACTGGGGAGCAGATTTAGAAATACACAGAAAGATACAAAATTTGTTAGAAACTATGAGCTGAACTGAAGTAAATAAAGACAGGAGTTCAAATACATGCTGAGAGTGAAAATCCTTCCTGAAAGTTAAGATATATCAGAGATTTAAAGAGAAAATTATAAATGGAGACTTTGGATAAGATAAGAAATAGCGCCCCCTTCACTTCTGGACTCATTTCCAAATAAGACATTTGTCTGCCATGTGGCCTGGCCCCACCCCTTCCTGTTTGCGGCAGGAAGGTGGACTTGCTTCCCCAGGAATCCAAGCTGTTCCCAGCGGGGCCACAACGGGCTCTTCTTTGACCAGTCTGATCAGAATCAATTGAACCCATCATGTTCAGAAAGCAACCGACAAGATCCATGACTTACAGTTCAGAGCATAAGAAAGAATCCAGAAAAGACAGCAGAGGTCAGAGAAAAAAAAAATCAATGGCTTTCACCAAGAGAAGAAGAAGGTGAAGAGGATGCAGCAGGGAGACCTTCATCCAGACAGATGACCTCCTGGCGACAGTAAGGTCCCAGCCACTGGTGCCACCTGCAGGTTCTGCAGAAGAAGAAAAACAGGAAGAGCTGATGGCGCTGCTGATGGCGCTGCCGGACGGTCTGCATGGAGCCATGGGTTCTAATGGAGTCAGTCTGAGTCCGATCACTGAGCCAATACACTATCTGGTTCTGTTTCTGGTTCTGCTGTGAGGTCCGGAATCAGGGCCCGGCCAGAACCGGGCCATCAGAGAGAAGAAACCCAGAAACTGAGAAACAATCTGAGACCCACCAAGACCCACCCCAACACACACACACACATATATATATATATAAAATAAAAAAAAATTCCCTTCTCACCCACCGCGGGTGGTTCTTATCCTCTGAGCTCGGGTCCTCTACCAGAGGATATATATATCTATATATATAGATCTATATATATGGTCCTCTACCAGAGGTTATATAGATATAGATCTATATATCCTCTACCAGAGGCCTGGGAGCTTGAGGGTCCTGCAGTATCTTGGCTGTGCCAAGGACTGCACATTTCTGGACTGAGATGTCTGATGTTGTTCCTGGGATCTGTTGTAGCCACTGCTCCAGTTTGGGGGTTACTGCCCCGAGGGCCCCGATGACCACAGGCACCACTGTGGTCTTCACCTTCCAGGCCCTCTCCAGTTCTTCCCTGAGGTGTGTGTGTATATATATATGGACATGAGCCGCAAGGACGGAGGCAGAGGACTAGTGAGTGTGAGAACCACTGTCCAGGACGAAACAACTAAGATCCATAAATACATCAGGGACAAAGCCTCAACAGACAATGTGCTCAGTGAATGTCTCAGACAACAGGGAACGGAGGTTGAGGTGCCAGAGATACCATCATGGGAGGACAAACCCCTACATGGGATGTACCACCAGCAAATAACCCAAGTGGCTGATATCAGTAAATCCTACCAATGGCTGGAAAAAGCTGGACTCAAGGACAGCACAGAGGCCCTCATCCTGGCCGCCCAGGAACAGGCCCTAAACACCAGAGCAATAGAGGCCCAGATCTACCACACCAGACAAGACCCAAGGTGTAGGTTGTGCAAGGAGGCCCCTGAGACAGTCCACATCACAGCAGGGTGCAAGATACTGGCAGGGAACATGGAGCGACATAACCAAGTGGCAGGCATAGTGTACAGAAACATCTGTGCAGAATATGGACTGGAAACCCCGAGATCAAAGTGGGAAACACCCCCAAAGGTGGTGGAGAACGCCAGAGCTAAGATCCTGTGGGTCTTCCAGATCCAGACAGACAAAATGGTAATGGCAAACCAACCAGACATTGTCGTAGTGGATAAACATCAGAGGAAAGCCGTTGTGGTAGATGTAGCAATACCAAGTGATTGCAACATCAGGAAAAAGGAGAAACTGGAGAAATACCAGGGCCTCAGGGAAGAACTGGAGAGGGCCTGGAAGGTGAAGACCACAGTGGTGCCTGTGGTCATCGGGGCCCTCGGGGCAGTAACCCCCAAACTGGAGCAGTGGCTACAACAGATCCCAGGAACAACATCAGACATCTCAGTCCAGAAATGTGCAGCAGTCCTTGGAACAGCCAAGATACTGCAGGACCCTCAAGCTCCGAGGCCTCTGGTAGAGGACCCGAGCTCAGAGGATAAGAACCACCCGCGGTGGGTGAGAAGGAAATTTTATATATATATATACACACACACACATATATACACACTGCTTCACACTAACTCCATTTTATTTCCTTTCAGAAAACAGACAGGCATACAGGTGAACACACCTGGAGAGTGAAATGCTAACATGCTAATGCTAATATACTTAAGTATTCTCAGCAGGAAACAGCAGGTGTGTTGAAGTGACAGCAGAAAACAGGAAGTGATGTCATGTTGTTAAAGGGAAAGGTGGAGTGGGCGGAGTTAGTTCAGTCTCAGTCACATGATGCTGCAGCATTTACACGGCTGCTCCTTCTTCCCTGCTACCGCCCTTCCCTCCACCGCCGCCTCCCCGTTGCTCGCCATTACCGTTTCTGGAGCTGTGGTTGGTGTGGGCGGGGCAGCAGAAGGCGGGGCAGCAGAGGGCGGGGCAGCAGAGGCAGGTGGATCGACCTTTCCATCTCCGTCATTGATGAGCACCAGCTCCGCCTTCACCGTGCCCTGCAGCCCCAGAAGCTTCCTGGTCTCGTCCTCGTCCTCCACATCCTGGTATCCCATGAACACCATGGTAACCGGGTTGTCGGCGCTGGCCTCCGCCACGTCCGGCTCCCCGCCGGCCGTCGTCTCCAGCCCCGTGATCGCTGCGGCGGTGGACGGGGCGTGACCGGGGGTCCGTGTGGACCCCGGTTCCGGTTCCGGCAGAAGGTCCGACTCCCTCCGGACTTCTCCCGTTGGCCGGGAGGTTGCCGTGGTAACGGAATGTGACATCACCGAGGCCTCGCCAGCTTTGTGGATGAGCTCCTCCACCTCAACGGAGCTGAGCAGGTGAGCGTCGTCCCCGTTCATCTCATGGACCACTGGGGACAGGGACAAGGTGGGACGTTAAAGGGACTCTGGACACACCTGCTGCTGAAGGACCAATAGCAACGCAGCATTGGATGACATCACACCATGCACCATTGCAGCGCTGCCCTCAATGGCAGAACACAATGTTGCTTCTCTTGCGTCTTCGTCATGCCAGCAATCACTTTAGATGAAGAGGAAGCCATCTTCCTCTTCATCAGGCTCCTCCTCTCTTCTCCTAAAGCGCGCTCAGCTTTTTGTTAAATCTCACCTTTCTGTTCATCTTCATAGACTTTGACCCCTTGATCGGAGAGGTCAACAGGAAGTTTGGTGTTAGTGGAAAGAACTCTGGTTTCCCCCGTCACTTTGTCCCGCTCTACTTTAATCTCCACTGAGTACATGGCTGGAGGACAGGAAGTGGAGGACAGGAAGTGGAGGACAGGAAGTGGAGGACAGGAAGTGGAGGACAGGAAGTGGTCAGAGAGGATGCACATGGTTAACAGTGGGAAAGAGGTACTCATGATGTCAGCACCACCTTGACCTCTGACCTGCTCAAACAGCAGTCTGGATCACCTGGTAAGTATTTCTAAACTGGAATTGAATTACATTAACAGAAAGCTAATGGTTGCTATGGCTACAAACCTGCTGGCATGGAGCTGCAGGTAATATTTTATAATACTGTTTATCATGTTATGTGCCTATAGTTATCACAAACATGATAACTACATGATAACATGTAGTTTATCATAACCCAACACAGTAATAACCCTGTAATTGAGTCACTATTAGACCTAATAGAACGTCTTTATTTTTCTTCCATCACCGTTAATGCGGCTCGTACCGCTGCGAGCCCCCCCCACAGAACTGCTATCAAAACGTGCGGCTCGATGCCAACAAGGAGGCAATTAGTGTGCCATCAGAGTTACCATGGCGAAATTTCCAACTGCCGAAACTTAAGAGTGTAACTGACGTTTCGTTAGAGTGGGAAGCAGTGCCATTTTTTACCCCAAATAAATTTTGAAATCGCCGCCACACCCACAAATATCGCCCTATCGGTATCAAACTCGGTCATGACATCAACACAAATGCCTGCTCCGGTAAAATGTTTTCAAAGTTTCTAAATTTTGAAATTGCTAGGGCTTACAGTTTTCTGTCTAGGTGCTTCAGAGTGAAGTGATGCGACAGGATTTCCACTCGCTCAGCCAGGATCACTTCCAAGTATTTCTGATAAATTTCAGACCTCAGCGCACACCATTTTTATCTCATTGCTATTACTGTGAGTGATGTACAGATATGAATAGCGGGACTATCGGAGACGAAAGATAACCCTCTCATACGCTTCAAACGGTTTTCCGTTACGTATCACGGTTTCCGAACGGGAAGGAGTTGTTCGGACCGCTTTTTTTAGTGAAACTGGCTGCAGCTGGCAGAGGATCCATTGCCATAGCAACGGAGCACAGCAGGGCAGAGCAGCTGATTAGGACTACAAAAACGCATCACTGTAGTTTTTACTATGGCAGATGGCCTTTAGAACTACTTCTTTTTTGGCCATTATATAACTGAATTCACTGAATCAGTGTTACACATGGGATCAGTATTGCCATTTCATATGAAACTTACTGAAAATTTCAAAATAAAAGCCTCTATAGTTCTGTCACGTTAGTGCACTGCCATAGGCGGTGCAATAAGATTAACCTGCATTATCTTTTTCTCTCAGGTTAGGCCATCAGCATTAACATTAGCCTTTTCCCTAAAATAAGCTTTTACCTATTTTTGTTGCTTAGTAGCAATGTTTTGGACACTCAGTGTAGCAAGACAACATTCTAATAATACCCCACATGCTACTGGCATCATTTACATTAGCATTTTAGCTTACACACCCATTTCAACATACTGAATGGTGCAAGTCCATGTTGGTAAACATGCTTGTGACTCTCCACAAGCTATTGACCACCATTTAGCCAAGCTTAGCATTGATGGTAAAGTTTAGCATCAGAACGCTGGGTCCGAACCAACGGGCACACTTTGGCAGGCCCCAGTTAAATTTCTTCACGAATTTTGTAGTTATAATGCCTTTAACATATTGTAAACCTGTTACCATGTTATAAACATGTAGTTAACAGACTGTAGAGCTGCAGTGAGCAGCTCTACAGTCTGTTGTGCTGCCATGCTAATATGTTGCGCTGCCATTGTAAAACCTGCAACATCTTAACTGGTAGTTAAGTTATAAACATGTAGTTGATGCTTTGTAAATGTGTAATAGACATGTAATAAACTTGTAGTTAACATGTTATGAGGTTGTAGATCACCTGCTGTCCTGTTCAGGTGTAGTTTACCTGGAGATTACATGCTGAACATCTTACTCACCTTTCTTCATCTCACCCCGGTCTTCTCTTGATTTACTGACTTTAAGACTTTTGTGAACTTTGACCTCTGCAGGGTCTCATGGGACAAACGGGAAAGACAGAGACAGAATGTGATGTCATCACTCTGTACTGCAATCTGATTACTGTATCCTGATTGGTGTATCCGCTCCTACCTTGGATCGCCTGACCTGACAGCTTAGCTCCGCCCAGCTCCATTCTGCTGTGACCTTTGACCTCAACAACTGATCAGAGACATGAGTTAGATGTAGAAGCAACACAATAAGAAACAGAGAAAAGTAGTTACCTGGATCAGGTGTTGGATTCACCTGGAGGCACAAACAGAGACAGGAAATAAACCTCCATAATCATACAGGAAACAGTGAGACATTTCACAATAAAAGCGTCCCAGTGAGATTGACTGAGGGTGTTTACTCACAACAGAGTGTGTTATGGTCTGAGAAACAGGTCCAGTTTCCAGCTTTGAGACTTCCTGCTCCAAACTGTAGACAAAAATAAAAAATAAACAGAAATAAACAAAAATAAACAGAAATAAACAGAAATGAATGAAAATAAACGAACCAATCAATAAACTCACAAATTAACGTAGTATAATGAAGGACTAGTAAAGTCGCTGAGAAACCAGATCAGACCTCCTGATGGATTCTTCCAGGGTTCTAGTTCTGGCTTCATCCTCCTCCAGCTGACTCCGGACCTGTTCCGGGTCCTGGTTCTGGTTTTGGTCCGGTCCATCGGGTCCTTGCAGGAGCCAGCGCTCCCTCAGAACTTTCGACTGAAGAGAAAGACACAGCGACACCTTCAGGTGACAACAGACAATTGCTCTGTTGCTGGTACCGTCTGCCGGTACCGTCTGCCGGTACCGTCTGCTGCTAATCGAGGCCTGCTCTGGGTACCAGTAGAACCAACCTTCAGGTGCTGCAAAGCTCTCCGTTCGTCCTCCAGCTGGCGCCGCTTGTTCTCCATCTCCGTCTGCCACTTCCTTTTTTCCTGAGGTATGATGGGAAACTGAGTTGGTTCGGCCTCAGTGAACCAGAACCAGAACCTCTCATGACTTGTCAGTGCCCTGCTGTCAGAGGTATCTGAGGCTGTTATTTTGAAAGGGCTGAGGTGGCGTTTCCTGCTGGCCGCCTGCCAGTGCGTTTGTCTCTGAGTGATTCTGAATAAAGCTGACCTGGTTTGAATGCAGAATCTTCCTGGACTGGATCCAAACCGGATCAATACCAGCATCGATCAGACCCGACCGATGCTGGAACCTGTCCGTTAATCCTTAGAGCCCGGCTAACACCAGTCCGGTTCTACAGAACCTTCCAGGAGCCTGACCTCTGACCCGGTCTGAACCCACACAGAACAGGTCGGGTTCCATCTCTGCAGGAACCCGACCCGTTTGGTCTTCTGACATCGGTTCTGATCGAAGTCTGTTTGATTTTTAATCAATCAGTTTCATTGATGGATGGACTGGTTCTGGTTCTTTTGGGACGATTCTGTTCAGAACTTACCGCCAGCTGCTGCAAACGGTTCTGATGAGCCTCCATGGTGCTGAAACACAAAAAGAGTCGGGTCACACTCGGTTCTGATGGTCGATCCAAAGTTCTGGTCCAGGTTCTGAGTCCTTACGGCAGCTTCCCCACTTGGATGTTCAGAACCACAGCCAGTGGGTCAAATGGGCCTGCTCTGGTTCTGACCGGAAGCTCCGCCCCAACCCACAAGGAAACAGGAAGACCCTTTCAAAATATGAGTCCCATCACCAGAAAGGTTCTGCTGGAATTCAGAGCCTCATCTGACCCGTCTGAGGCTGCAGGAGGTTATCAGAACCTCACCACGAACTTTGACCTCCAGGTGAGATGACCTCAGAGAGCCGCTGGGCCTGTGGAACACCTGCAGGCAGCGCTGACCTCTGACCTTGATGCTCCACCCCCCTCCGCCTTTGTTTTGAAAACCTCACCGGAAGTAGTGCTGCCTGCGAGCGTCCACCTTGATGCGTCACATTAATATCAGTAAACTGATCAATAACTGATACCAGCTGCAGCTCATTGATCCATGATCGGATCCTGGCCCGGAGTTCCGGTCGGTTCCGACCCGCCTCGGACCGGACCGGGATCGGTTCTGCTGCAGAGCAGAGTCCGGTGCCGCACAATGACGTCACAGCGCATGCGCATAAAGACGCACAGGCGCATTTAAAGCGAAATAAATAAAACTATTTAAAAACCGAAGAGGAGGAAGAGGAGGAGAGATGAAGGTTGACTCACCGCTGCAGCGGAACCAGAGGAGACAAGCAGGCCCCGCCCACTAGAAGGAGGGGGGAAGGCGTGGCTTCAGACTGGACCCAGAACCGGAGATCATCTTGATCCAGAACCTCCACCAGGTTCTGTTCACCTTCCTGAAGGAGCAGCTCTGACTGTGGGACCGAAGTTCAGAGAACCAAAACCAGAACCTGGAGGTCAGAGGTTGCCAGTGGTTTTCAAAGTGTGGTCCGCGGCCCCCTGCTGGTCCGCTGGCAGCCACCAGGGGGCCTCAGAGAGACAAAGAAAAAATAATGAATTTAAATGATAAAATATAAAACTAACTGAAGCTGTTTGTCATCCTCTGATTGGCTGCCTGTTTAACTGGGTTCGGACCAGAACCGACCAGCAGCTGAAGAACCTGCTGCAAAAAGCCCAAAGTATCATGAACTGATTATTGGCTGAAAGAGAGAAACATTCTGAATGGATCAGAACCCGTTCTTCCATCTGTGTTGGAAGTCTCAGAGACCCACCCAGAGCCCGTCACAGACCAGAACCAGAACCGCTCTGGACCCGATCAGACGATACCGGAGCAGTTCTGCTTCTACTCACCTGGCCAGGTTCCCGGCGCTCCGTCTGGTTCTGCTGAGCATCAGAGGATCCAATGGAAATCAAACTTTCTGAAACACCACTCTTTCAAAGTAAAAGTCCACACAGATTCTGTTCACAGCTACTTTTATTCTGAAAGGCCATCCTTAGTGTTCCAGGAAGCAGACAGGTGAGGGGGCGGGGCTAAAGGACCCAACAGGACTCCAGAACCACATTAGCAGGTTCTGGTTCCCTCAGGAGCATAACAACATTCTGCAGCTTTAAGAGGCGGCGAGCGGCCCGGACGGACGGCGCCGCCCCGAAGGACACTTTGTGACATCACAGTTAAATTAAATAAATAGACGAATTCAGTCAGGATTCATTAAAACAGGCAGAAACACTGACTACAGCTCCCAGGATGCACTGCTGCGGCAGCCAGAGGCAGCATGGACCGAACCTGGGGAGGCATCAGAACCCAACAGAAAACAGGTCAACCGCCTACCGGGTCAGAACCTTCAGGAGGAACAGGACCGCCAACAGAACCTGAGACTTTCAGAACCGCAGCACAATCATGATTACTGGGTTCTGTTCAGAAGCTGGCGGGTCCAAACCAGAGTCCCGGTTCATCAGCAGATGAAGACCGAAGGATCAAGTGGGCCGGCCAGAACCAGAACCATAGCAGAAACACAGTGACTGTGAATATTAATGTTGGCATTAGAGCTTGCAGAGCAGCAGCAAGCTGGTCAGCACTAGCTTTAGCATTGTGCTAATGCTAAAGCTGCCCAGCTAATCGACTGTTTTTTTTTTACAGTGTTTCATTTCAATGCGTCGATGTTTTTGACAATGTTTCGTCTGGTCCGATGTTTGACCTCTGCCCCTGTGGGGACAGTGGCGGTGAGATAACTGTGGCGTTGTGTAGCTTTAGCAGCGTTGCGGTGGAAACGGTGCGGCTACATGGTGATTATGACTGGGGAACATTGAGTTTTAACATGATGCTGACACTGAGCGGCAGACCAATTGTGACGTTTAATGCTAATTGTAATCCCAACCGTTTCAGTCAAAACGTCACAACCATCCAGGTTCTGATCCACAGGACGGGTTCTATCTGCTGGTTCTGATCCAGTGGCGCCAGAGGGTTGAGGGGGGACCATGATGTCACACAGGTGAGGAAAGAAGGGAGCAAACGTTTCTAACTGAGCACGCTCAGTACGGTACAGCGGCGGCGTCCTGCAGGGAGGTGGGCGGAGCCTGGCTCAGAACTCCACCTTGCAGGCGGGGAAGGTCTCGTCCTGCATGGCGACGGTGCTGTTGCTGCCCAGCACCGTCACCGCCAGCTGCTGCTGCCGCTCATGCGTCTCCTGGTACCACTCGTGCATGGCCAGCGAATCAAAGGTGGGGATGAGGGTCACCTGAAAGCCAGGGAGGACAGACGGATCAGAGGGCAGGTCCAATCTGGAGGAGAGGAAGTTCGGGATGGCGCCACCCACCGGATCGTCGGGCCACGTGCTCTTCCCCGCCAGCAGGCCGTCTAGGATCCTCCTCATCGCCGCCTCCTTCGCTGGGTCGTCGCCGCTGATGATGTAATACGAAGCACGCAGACGTTTGAACAGGCTGTGGTCCACTGTGGAGGAGGCGGAGCCAGACGGCAGGTAAGCCAGGTCCACGTAAACCACAGGACCTTCAGAACCAGCAGAACCTGCCATGAACCGAACAAAGAGGGTTGTTTCAGAGGAAGCAGCATTTTGGTCAACAGGTGAGATCGAGCAAGTGAAAATGAAGGTGTGTCAGTCAGAGACCAGCAGAGGGCGCTAAAGGGATTTTCTAAACCAGATTGCCAATAGGAACCAGATTCTACTTTATTGATCCCAAAGAAGAAACTATTCAACATCCAGAGACTTAAATATTAGCAAATCCAAACATTACCAGACGTCATATAATATTCATCACGTGCGATTTAAATATGAACTAAAGTGACCTGGAAAAAAGCAGAGCATAAATTCCTGTTTCCTGCAGGAAGATAATCGAAAGAAGAAACTGACCTTCTGATTGGAGGCCAAAGGCTCCAATCAGAAGGTCAGTCTTTGTTTGGTTCTGGTTTGTCCAGAGATCAAGCTGAAACCAAGACTTCGTCTACCTGACGGTCTTGAAGGTGTGACCTTGGATCCACCAGGCAAACTCCGTGACGTAAGCTTGGAGTCGAGGCCGGTCCTCAGGGAGCTGGGGGAACCGGCTTTGGACCGGCTGCTTCCTGACGTGGTTCTCTGCAGAGGCTTCTTTCTGGCACCGGACGCCTTAAGGGTGCGGTCAGCCTCAGGGTCGGTCATGCAAGTGCCACGCTGCAGCGGCAGAGGGGGCAAGTCTTTAACCGGTGCCGGCGGCGGGTCCAGTCCCGTCCGCCGCAGGAAGTGCTGACTGGGAACATCACTGGGCTGACGGAGGAAGCCAGAGTCTTCATCACAGTCCAGGTCGGCGGTGATTGAGGGACAATCCTCGATGCTGGGGGGCACGTCGGAGTCAGTGGCGGTAGGCAGGGAGTCGCTGACTGATGTGGGTGGGGTCTCCTGGCTGCAAGCTGAGGTGAGAGGGGAGGGGTCATTGTCGGATAGGTCCGGTGAGGCACCGGAAGTCGGGTGGTGCTGGAACTCACAGGGAGACACTAGGCAGAGGTCAACATTGTGGGGAACTTCAGAGGGGGGTCTGCCGACGTTCTCCCCGGAACCACAGCGTGCATTCGGGGTGCAACCACCGGGAAGCACCGTCTTAGCACGCTCTGAGGTGCCAGCAGAGCGGACTGGCTCTGAGGAGACCGAGAGGGAGCAATCGACCTCGGTGGAGTGGGGAGAGCTGACCTCTGCCGGCATGGACGTCATGGTGGGGGAGGAGTCCTTGGCCGGACTCAGGAGGCTGGAGCATTTATCCTGAGACGAGGTGGAGTTCTCCACACCTTCCCGCAGGGAGCTGACCTCCGAAGTTCTGCATGATCCAGCCTGGTTGTAGTCTTCAAAGCATAAACTGGATTCCCAGACGCCCACGCTGCTGAGACCCAGCGCGTCTTCAGGGGACGGGTGGAAGGGAGTGTGTTCGGCACTGGTCGGAGCAGAGTCTGCAGGAGAAAACAGCTCCAGGGTCTTCTCTACCCGGACTCTGGGGGAACCCTCTGCAACCCGGAACATTCCTGGACTAGGGTCAAAGTTCACGCTGAGGTCAGCTTTTGGTGTTCCGGTGATATGTGGGGCGGCGCCAACCGAATCTGTCTCAACAGAGCAGGACTTATCTGGACTCTCCGTGGTGGAGATCTGGTTCCCATTGAGGGAAGTCTCCTCGGACGTCCCTGCAGTCTTTGAGCCCCGGTTCCCGTTGGCATCCTCCAGTTTTTTAAACTCCATTGTTGTGTTCTCGGTCGTTAAAGTCTTCTGGTTTTCCTGGGATCCTGACTTCCTTCTCGTCTCCTTGTTGAAGGCACCTTTCTTTGGAAGCATCCCGCCCTTCTTCACACTCCCGGTTTTACCCGTGGCTTTCCTTTGGTCAGTAGTTCCGATTAAGGAAGTGGGTCCATCGGTTCTCTTGGCTTCTTTAACCAGTAACCTTACTGGTTTCTTCTCCTCGGTTCTAGCGTCCTTCTTGTTGTCTTTCTTTGGTTCTGATTTTGCCTCCTTCTTGGTCTTCAGACTTGCGGTGTCCTTCTTTGCAGCTTCCTTCTTCTTTTCTGAGGCATCTTCCTTCTTCCCAGAAGCAGCAGAAACCTTCTCATCCTTCTTCTTCACATCCTTCATATCCTCCTTTGCCCCATCCCTTTTTGAATTTGGTTTCTCAGCAGCTTTTATGGTCTTTGGTTTCAGATCTGCGTCCTTTATCTGGGTCTTTTCTTCTACATCCTTGGTCGTAGCGTCCCCTCCTCCTTTGGTCTTAGTCTTCAGCTCAGGTTTTCGGACTTCAATCCGTCTGTCTTTCTGTAAGGCACCGTTGGGTTTCGGGTCTTTGGACTGGAACTTCAGACTTTCGCGACTCTCTTGTCGGATCAATGGCTTCTGGGTTTTGGACACTTCGAGCGCCTCCAGACTGACAATCGGCTGCTTCAGGAAGTCCAGATGAGCAAGTTTGTCCAGCGCGTCCAGGATTTTGGCCTGTGGGGTGCAGCCGGGGAAGAGAACTCGAACGATCCGGTCCTGGGTTCTGGATGGGTGCCAGACCAGAAGGGCGCAGACGGACACCCGGCAGGTCAGAGGAAGCTCTGCAGCTCCTGAGTCGGCTCCGTAGGGCCACAGCTGCATCAGAGCCTCCAGGTCCTTGGACCCGCGGACCGGGTTCAACACATACAGCTCCAGCCGGCCCACTCCCATTTTCTGGAACAGAATCAGCGGCCCTACAGCGGGCCCGCCGGGCCTGCTCAGAGGTTCTGGAGTCACACCCAGCTTCTGGAGGGTGAGCAGGGCGAGAGCCGCCTGGTCACAGCTGCGCAGCCGGCCTGGTTCTGGACGGATGGACTTCAGTCTTCCGGGAGCATTGAAGAACACTACTCCGAGCTCCGGGGACACCAGGTTCCTGACCCGATTATCCCCGTCCTCCTGGTTCTGCTCGGCCACCTTCCGCAGCAGCAACGCGTTCAGGCCCGGCAGGTTGTCCTCGCCCATGTGTGTCAGTAGCACTGAGTCGACCCGGTCCAGGTGCCGGACCAGCTTCCAGAAGCCGGCGCGCTGGTCCGAGCCGCCGTTCACCAGCACGTTGAAGCCGTTGACGGCGAAGAAGGCGGAGTCACCGCGGCCGCCGGGGAACACGTAGCAGCAGGGCCGCGACAGCTTGAGGAAGCCGGCGGCGCCGGGCGGCTCCAGGAGGTCAAAGGGCGAGCCAGGCTCCAGCGACTCCGATAGGTACTCCGTGAACTCCTGGAGGCCCTCCATCTCAGGCAGAACCGGGACTGGGTTGACCCGCACGCAGACCGGGACCTGCAGGTTCTGCAGCTCTGAGTCGGTCCAGAGGCAATGGGCCGGGCAGCTGAGGGTGAGATGGGCCTTCAGAACCGGGTCACCAGAACCCAGCAGCTCCACCACCTGCAGCACCAGAGACACAACTGTTACCAAATGGACCGGAACCAGCTGGTTCTAATTATCAGAACCGCTCACCTCATCACCAGCCAGGATCTGGGCCAGGTCCCGGCTGGAGAATCCGCCCTGTTGGAGAACCAGCTCTCCGCTGCTCTCCACGCACTGACCCGCCAGAACCAACAGCTTGTGGCGCGACGGGTCGCAGAGAAGCCGCTGGATCTGAACAAAACCGACAGGTCCGTTAGAGTCCGTCAGAGGAGACAGAGATACAATGAGAGTCTCACCTCTGAGCAGACCAAGCTCTGGGTCGGGTTTAGAACCACCTGGGTGTCCAGAACCTCTCCCCGGTGCTGCAGGGTCTGCTGACCTGCAGGACCAATAGAACATCCATTACACAGCAGGAAGAGTTGGACGGACCGTGCCCTGGGTCAGAACCAGAGCCTGGTTACAAAACGGCGGCACCCGGTTCTGCTCATTAGTGTTGTGGTTCAGAAACTGGGTCAGAACCAGAATTGTGGTGGAAATGCCCCTGATGTTCCTGCAGGCAGCTCAGCAGAGACTCAGCTGACCCGGTTCATGAGCTCACACACACACACACACACACACACACACACACACACACACACACACACACACACACACACACCAGGAGGGCCAGTAAAGTTCTGGTTCTGGTCACTCACCTGCCCAAAGCTCCACCTGAAGCTCCACCTCATGACAAAGCTCCGCCCACTTTAGTTCCTCAGGTATCTGACTCTCCATCACAGACCACATGGTCCGTTCATGGCGGAGGGCGGAGCTACTACACCCACTACAGTTCTACCCGTGTATCGAGAAGAGCACCTTGTGTGCATAGAGGATCTTTGTTCCTCACCTCGGACGTCTTCAGATAGAAAAGCCGAATGTCTCGACACAAAGAGCTTTAGCTGCTGATCCAGAACCGCAACATCCAGATCCGCCTGCCAGCAGCGCACACCTGGAACAGAGACACCACCTGGTCACCTTCATCACCATCATCATCAGGTCCTAACAGACCTGCACCTTCATGAGTTGAATGTGAAACTATGAGCAGAAAATCTGGAGGTTATAATCTGCTTATCACCATCTGCTTTCTGGTTCTGTTTGAGGGTTTTCTGTCTGTTTTGCTGTAATACTATTATTTATAGACATTAGAGGAAAGAGACTCTACTGCGGCAGGGACTACCGGGAAAAATAGAACCTGAACAGAACCTGAACAAAAAGCCCCGTTAAGCATCATTTTCCTCACAGAGTAACCCATCGCTTATTCTTCCCATCTTTGACCAACAAGCGTTTCCTGAACAAACAGGAAGTTGCTGTGTCGAAACAGAACTTCCTCTTTCTGTCCAGTAGCGACAGAACCACAGCAGGTTGTTCAGAACCTGGACTCAGAACCAGTTCTTCTGCAGGTCCAATCAGAACAGCAGTAATCAGAACCAGACGGGTCCAAACTGTGCTGCTGCTCCTCGGGAGGTTCTACTGGGTTCAGTGAATGGACCAGAGGTTCCTTGGTTCTGGTTCTACATCCTGGAACCGACTTGGGGTGTCCAGATCAACAGAAGTGTTCCTCCTCCAGCTGCAGGCGTTCGGAGAAGCTGATCTAGTATTCTGATCATTCACAAGAAACCCGTCTTGAAGCGGGTCGGAACCGGAACCAGCCGGAACCAGGCTGAACCCGGCCATCTCCGGTTGCTGAATCAGATTTACTCCAGTTTCCGGATCAGAATCAGAAGAACTGGTTCTGGTTCGGTTCAGTCCTATAGTTCATGGACATTTTACTCTGAAAGGTCAGCTTTCAGAGTAAAAGCTTTCAGAGTAAGCATGAAGCTTCATCTAGCTTCATGCTAGCTGGAGCTAGCATGAAGCTAGCATGGCTCTGTCCGACCACAGAAAGTTCTGTTAAGGGTTCAAATCTGCCTCGTATTCAAGACACTGTGCAGCTCTTCACACCGAACTTAAACCCATGAAAACCCGAACCAGGTTCTGAATTTATCCGGGTCTCCACTCTGGTCTGAACTGCAGTAACCATATGCTTTTATTTTGAAAAGCTCACAGACCTCCCACCCTTCGGTGCGGTTCTACAGTTCTCCAGAATCCGCTCACCTCCTTCAATCTGTCGCAGTATGAGATCCAGCGGCCCGCTGGGCTGCAGCGCTCCCACCACGACCAGAACCGAGTGATCCGCAGCCGCTGCGGGCCGAGAAGAACCGGGACCGCCGCCCCGCTGCGCCGCCATCACACTGACTGCTTGCAGCCAACGTCATTCGCACGTTGACGCTCAGCACCGCCCTGGTAGGAGGAGTCCTGCGGAGGCGGGCGGACGGCTTCATTGCAGCCAATCAGAGACCAGAAACAGGCGTCCCAACCATGATCCAACAGAAACTAAGGCGCTGTCCAATCACAGGAGACCATGAGAGATCAAACTGATTTCGGCCCACAAGGTTGCATTCTGAGTGGACTATAGCAAACACCAGTAGAATAACAATGTAGCTAGCAAATTGAAACTATGAACATATTCCTGCTTTCTTTCACATAACTTGGAAAAAATTACCACTTCAATCGGTCTCCCGGCATGTACTGATTTTTCCCACACTCCCCTGGTCACCTGAACGCCTCGCTGAGAAACCTCTGGACTCAAACGGATTTGGTGTCCGGTTCTGGACCTGTCGGAGCTCCGCAGGAAGACAAAGTAATACTTTGGTATTGACTTGAACTGGTCCGGCTGCAGAGTTTGAGACAGAAACAGATATGAATATGTTTTTATTGATGCAGCTCCGCTCGTAAGTAGTCAGATTAAACATGATGACAATCTGCTTTAGTCTCACTGTGATGCGACAGGGTGACATTAGGAAGACTTTTAAAAAGGGGCCACACTAAAGGGTGAGCTGGTCAAACTACAGAACCACGTGTTGATGACGTGTTTCCACCACCAGAAGAGCTCCGATCGACGTCAGCAGTCATTTTCCGCACTCCGCTGTGAACCCCTTCGTATTGTCAGTGACTCCCTGTTTTTTCTTACAGCCCTCGGAGCCCCTGAACGCCTCACCGGGGCCAACATGGCGACACCTCCACCGAGCAGATGCAGCTTCTTCGTCCAGAAGAAAAACCGCTTCTGTAAAATGGTACCCGGAAGTGGGCGGAGCTTCTGCGGAGAGCACGCGACCATGGTGAGCCACGTGATTCAGCAGCTACTTCCCAAAAAGATCTGATCTGCTGCTGCTCAGCAGTGACGTCATTAAAGCTGTGACGTGTTTCCTGTTCCAGGAGGAGGGCGTCAGTAGCAGGATCACGTGTCCACTGGACCCCAAGCAGTGAGTCCTGGTTCTGATCTGCCTTGGTCGGACTGGGATCCGGGTCGGTAATCAGAATCTGTTCTGTCAACAGCACCGTGGCCCAACAGAACCTGGAGAAGCACCTGAAGAAATGCAACTCTAGAGAGAAACCCCGACCTGTGAGAACATCAACCTTCATCCATTCATACATCATCCATCATTGATCCATTCATCCATCCATTCATCATCCATTCATCCATCCATCATCCATCCATCCATCCATCCATTCATTCATCCATCCATTCATTCATCCATTCATCCATTCATTCATCCATCCATCCAACCCTCTCTGTCTTTCCAGGTCTACTATGTGGAGAACATCAATGCAGGACGAGTTGATAAAGATCAGGAGCTTCCAGAGGTAACAGAGCTGATGATGATGATGATGATGATGATGATGATGATGATGATGATGAAGGTGTGTCTCAGGTGTCTCTGGCTGAGCGCAGCAGAGCAGAACTGGAGTCTCTGGTGGAGAAACTGAAGGCAGCTGCTGAAGGTGAGTTTCTGCTCCCAGGTAACCAGGTAACCAGGAAGTGACCGGGTAACTCCATGTCCCCCTGCAGGTCTTCAGCAGGACATGGAGGACAGGACGCTGTCCCATCCCGTCCTCCAGGGAGAACTGTCTGACCCAAAGAATGGAGGCTCCGCCCACAAACACTTGAAGCAACAGGTGAGGACAGACGAACCAATCGACGAGCCGGTCCTCCCTGAGGGGCGGAGCCTGTCTGACGGCCAGGTGTGTTCAGGCCTCTCTCCTAGGTCACCTGCAGGAGCTGGGTCTGCTCAGCAGGGGGCGCTGCTTTGTGGAGTTCGGTGCCGGCCGGGGAAAGCTGTCCCACTGGATCCACCGGGCCCTGCAGAACCCTGAGGGTCAGGGCATCGCCATGGAATCCAGCCAGGACCTCCAGCTGCTGCTGGTGGAGCGCTGCTGCACCCGCTTCAAGGTAGGCGAACCAGGGTACCAGAACCAGTCCGGACCGGATAAATATTCATGCAAATCCATGAAACTGACCAGAAATACAACCGGACCCGCCCCTCTGACCTTTTTCCTTCTTCAGGTGGACGGGAAGCACCAGGGTTCTGCTGACCCGTTTGAGCGGCTGCAGGTGGACATTCAGCACCTGGACCTGAGTAAGACCCAGCATCTTCTGAGGCTCTGCGTTACTGGTTCTGACCCGGTTCTGACCAGGTTCTATGCAGGTAAAGTTCCGGTGCTGAGGGAGAAAGCGCTGCCGTTGGTGGGAGTCGGGAAGCATCTCTGCGGAGCGGCGACAGGTGAGACCTCCAAGTATAATTCAGCTTCTAGATCCCGGTTCTGGTTCTGGTTCTGCCTCAGATCTGGCCCTGCGATGCCTACTGGACACGGCCGGACCCCGACCAGACACCCAGCCGCTTCCCAAGCGCCTCAGAGGGCCAGAGCCGGGCTCTGATACCGGTCCGGTTCTGGGCCTGGCCGTGGCGTTATGCTGCCACCACCGCTGTGAGTGGCGTCACTATGTGGGTCAGCAGTTCTTCCTCCAGAGAGGACTTGGACCCGCTGAGTTCTCCGCCTTCTGCCGCATGTCCAGCTGGGCCACCTGTGGCCCGCCGGCCAATCGCAGCGGAGCGGCCAATCGCAGCGGAGCGGCTGAGGATCATGAAGAAGCGGAGCAGATGGCGGGCCTGGGCAGGTGAAGCTTTCAGTGCTGCCAGAGGCTCTGTAGCACTCCTGGTACTGATCCATCCTCCTGTGGTTCTGCAGGTTCTGGTCAGTGGCGGAGCGGGAGCATCTGGGTCGGCTCTGTAAGCTGCTGATCGACAGCGGTAGGCGGGACTTCCTGCGGACCAGAGGTTTCAGCAGCCGTCTGATTGGATACGCAGACGCAGAGGTGACCTTGGAGAACGTCCTGCTGACCGCTCTGTCCTCGTCCTGACGGACTTGCTTGGTTCTGTCCTGCTTCACGCCCTGCTGGATCGGACCTGTTAGCGTCTGGTTCCTGTCTGGAACCAGCAGCTGTAATAAAACATCAATCTGTGGGTCAGAATCTGTTTTATTAAAGTCAAACTTGGATCAGTTAAAGTTTCTAGTTTCAATTCCATCTCTTGATCCAAACTGGGTTCTGGTTCTGATCCGGTTCACCAGAATCAGGCAGTAGAGGGACCGAGCTGAATCGGGTCATGTCTGGGCCGGTCTTCATCCGTCTCTGAAAGGTCCAGAACAGAAAGACATCAAAACCTTGGTCAGAACCCGCTGGCCCGGTTAGTGGTACCATTAGACCGTGATCAACATGGAGGTAAACGTTTGGGTCGGATGGTTCTGTTAATTCAGTTAGTGGGTCAGGTTCTTCCGTGGTGACCCGGTTACAGCTGCAGGCCAGTTTATTAGATAGGGTTACAGTCCAGAACCAGCGGTACCATCAGAACCAGAAGTACTAACGGTGGAGGCGGTGCGCGCTCAGCACGGCGTAGTTTCTCTTCCGGGCCTCCTGGATGTAGGTGAGCATGAAATCCCGTCCAAACATCTCCCGATCGTCTTCGCCGTCCTCCGTCCTCAGAGGCAGAGACACGTCTACAATCAGAGGGTTGTCCCGGAAATTCACAAATCTGTCCACAAGAGACGGCACAGAATCAGTCCATGAGACAGAGACACGAGAGACCAACCTGAGACTGACGCATTGACGATTGCCCAACTTGGGTAGTATGACAATTTTTAGAAAATCTTTTGATTTTGCCAAACTGTTTGATGACTTTTTGTCAGTTCTGGTTCTGGAGCAGCAAAGAGCCATCCTTGTTGTCTCATGGGGACCTGTAGGTCTTGGACATGTTCGTCTCCAACCGCTGAACCAAATGGGTGGATCTTCTAGAGGCTTCAGCTGAAGACTGTTTTAATTTGTTTGGTCTGGCTGTTGTAGTGCTGACGTCTTCAGAGACAATCAGTCAACGGAGACAGATGAACAGGTGTACCTGAGGTTGGTCATGTCCTCCATCAGGGATGGGATGTCCCTCAACCTGTTGCTGCTGAGGACCAGTGTGTCCAATCGGGACATCCTGCCGATGTTCTCTGGCAGGATCTGCAGCTCGTTCCTCTGCAGCCACAGCGTCTGCAGCATCTGCATCCTGAAGACAGACACGACCCATTGGTCCACTAGGCCACATGGGGGCGGAGCTCAGGTGTTCCTACCTGTGGATGTCATCAGGCAACTGCTGCAGGCGGTTTCCCCCCATGTCGAGCCACTCCAGCGCCGGCAGGGCGACTATGCAATCTGGCAGGGAGACGAAGTCGTTCATGGACAGGTCCAGGTGCTGCAGCCGCACCAAGTTCCTCAGCTGGAGACGGACAGAGTTGGATCAACCTCGGCTGGAATGGGACCTGGACTGGTACCTGGACTGGAACTTGGTCTGGTACCTGGTCTGGGAGCTCCTTGAGGTCCCGGTTCATGGCCAGCTCCAGCCTCTCCAGACTTTCACACCCACCAAGTTCTTCAGGAACGACTCGGATCCGGTTGTAGCTCAGCAACAGCTCTCTGAGCCGGGTCAGCTTCCCTGAGACGAGAACCGGGTCACGACAGGTGTTCAGAGGTCAGGGCTGATAGACTCAGTATGGGTCAAGTGGGCCCGGTTGGTGCTCACCGATCTGCTGCGGGATCTCGGTTATGGCGTTCCGTGACAGGTCCAGAACTAAGAGGTTCTGGAAGCTGCAGATAAATGGCGGAACCTTCAGCAGGCCAGTTCTGTGGATCTGCCACTCCTGGACCTGGATGAACTGCACCAGACACGCCGGCAGGTTCTGAGACAAACACGGACGGGTCAACAGGACGTTCTGGACCAGCAAACCGGGCCGGTCCCTGGGTGGTACCTTCCACTCCTCTTGTTCTATCCGGAGAACCAGGCGTCCATCTTCTGTCTGTAGCTTCCCCCTGAGGCGGGCCAGAACTTCCCGGTCCTCCCAGACCCGGACACTCAGCCTGGCCAGAACGAGTCACAGCAGTTAGGAACTGGGTCCACCAGAACCCGACCACAGATTCTGGTTCTGAAGAACCTCTGATCTCAGTTTGGTTCTGAACACCATTCATCCTTACAGGATCCTCTACATCAGAACCTCTGATGAACTGGGACCAGTATATGGACCCATACTGGTCCCAGTTCAGACAGATTCATGGTGTCCCAACACAAACAGGACTTTATTACTCGGTTACCATGACAACCACCTGACGCTGCTCAATGGGCGTAAAAACTGGAATGTGATAATATCAACCAATAGGAGAGAGAGGGCGGGGTCTAACCTGCCTGAGGCCCCGCCCCTGGACGGTCTTCTCCTCTGCTGCTCCTCCCTCCGTCTCTGGATCCGCGTCTCCCACAGAGCTCTGATGGAGCTCACCGAGCCGCACGCCGCCACGCCCACCATGATGTCACGGCGCGAAGGACGACCTCTGACCTTTGGACATTTGCCTCAACCTCTGTTGAGGACGCAGGAGAGTTCAGGGACGAGTGCCGGTTTAAACTCGCTGTCGGCGCTTCAGGTTACGTGGCGTTTAAACGCTGGGAAGAGTCAACCTGAAAACATTAGGAAAACGTCGCCGCCAGTTTGAATGCGGCAGTGGGGCGATGGGCGCGCCATGCTGAAACCATTAGCATCCCATTTCACTAGTGAGAAAGAAAATCAGAACATTTTATGAGCAGAATTTCTGGACTTTTCTAAACCAAGGAATGTTTCCCAGGTCAATAACTGGGCCAAATAAAGCACTCGGGCCAGAATCCTGTTAGCTTAGCTCGCTTTCACTCTGCAGGGTTAGCTGAGGGGATTTTCTGATGCCAAACTGCTGTTAGAAGACAAACGATGCATTCCAGAGCAGCCAGTCAGGATCACAGCTCACTGGTTTTCTTCTGTTTCAAATGACCATGTTCAACTATGTTGTCGAAATGTGAAGGAGTCAGGATTTCATTTTCATGACACTGTTGGGTCATTTGTCTTTCATCCTTGGCGTTAGCCGCCAGGACGTCACTGGACTGGTCCCAGTTTGACCAGCAGACTGAACCTGCCTGATCCCCCTGTTGGCAGTAGAAATAAATCTGTATTTTAATGTACACTTTTTTCTTTCACCTTTTGTTTGTTTTTACGTTCATGATGCACTGCAGTGTGTCATCAATATCAGAATCAGCTGTGCCAAATAGAAACACTCTAATCATATCAAATGTTACAAATATTGTCTATTGTGTTGTGACAGAATGTATTAATGACGACCATTAACTTAAAATACTTTGTACAATATAAAGTTAAGTTCATTTACACTGAACAAAAATATAAAGCTGCATGAACATTTGGGTTACGCAATACTCCAAATACATTTTCAGCCATCGGCTGCGTGTCGCTGGGCTGAACCCGTCCTCAGATGGACGGCCGGATGTGGCCATCTGGTGCTGGAGCATCAGAGAGGATGAGGAGGATCTGCAGTAGAGCCGTTTGTTGGAAACCGGCTCTTAAAGGGCCGGCGGTTTGATAACGGATCGATAATGGACCATCAGCCTTTACCAGACCGGTGGTCCGATACCAGACCGGTGGTCCGATACCAGACCGGTGGTCCGATAACGGACACTGAGCCTTGCAGTTGCTGCAGCCAACATGCCAGCGGTTCCCACATAACATCTCAGGCTTTATGATTTGTGACATAATGTGAGATTTTGGGGCCTTTTGTTGTCCAGTCCAAGGATTGTCCAGCTGTTGCTCATTTTGTCTGATCACCCAGTGGACATGACCCACAATGCACTGCAGTAAATAACTCACTGACAGGAAGTTGGATTAAATATTATACACAGATCAAGAGAAATATTAATTTGGTACAGTAAAATGTTTGGTACATTTCCAGTTGTTACGTCCACATGGTAACAATATGTGACATGGACATTTCTATGTTTGCTCAGTACAGCTGCGCTTATTACCACATAGATCACATTCAACATGGCGGACGCTGTGTGAGCTACAAGCCAGTCTGCTCAATGAGGCGTCTACGTATTCATGTCTATGGGCTGAGAACTAGGCTGCAGGATTCTCCCATTGCTCCCACAGCTCCCAGTCCAGTCCTAAATCAGAGATTTACTGATAGTGACAGAGAGGAAACAGAAGGTCCTGTCTCAGTGGTGTCCCTGTTGCTAGGACTGACACAGCGACTGGTTGCAAGGTGGAACCAAACCGTCCCAGCAATCAGCTGATCATTCCATCTGGATTCATTGAGTCTTGTTGATGAAAGTAAAATTAAACATGTTTGATCAGCTCATTTGCATCGCGCTAGCAGTAATTGCTAATTTCTGCTGGCTAATCTGAAGGAACTGAGTGGGGAGGAGCTGCGTCTCAAAGGCGGGGCTAAGTCCATCCAGGTGTTTAACAGCTGAATCAAAGCAACTCTAAAAGCATGAAGGAACAATTTTACGTGATTCTGGCCCTTTAAAAAACACAAACTGCTGGAAATGAGAGCAGCTAGGCGTCTGTGATGCAGTTTAAAACTGGATCTCCGGATCTGGATCTGTTTTATCTGGGTATCTGAAGAACCAGAGTCCGGTTGGTCGGTTCTGGAACCCACACTGTTAGTAAAGTTCTGGTTCTCACCTTGGAGCTCTGCCGCCGTCCTTCACGCTGCAACCCAACCTCCGATTTGCTGGCCAGGAATAGACCGGGTCATGTGACCCGACAGGATCTGACTGCAACTGCTTCCTGTATGAATGTGTTCTGGCTGTGTAAGACAGAAGCCTCCCTGTTGTTGGACCAGAACCAGAACCATACTGGACCAGAACCAGAGAGGAAGTGTTTTCAGCAGCTTTATTGAGATCTTCCCACGAAACATAGAAAAGCTTTACAAGAGTGTGACCGGAGCAGGACCCTGGAGCCGCCAGCAGGGCGACGACACCGACCACCCCATCATCAATAGACGTCTGGTTCTAAACCGGCCCGGCTCCCGACCCGGCTCCCGACCCGTTGAGGCAAACCGGGTCCTACTGTGGCCCTCCAGGTCCCAGAGCCACCGGGACAGACTTTGCAGCTGACCTTTGACCCGGGGAAGCACCAAAGACACGCGGGACATGAAGGAC